CACAGATAGGGGCATTCAAAACCAGCCTCTCTGGCAGGTGAGCCCTGCACAGTCAAATTAATAGGCAAAGTAGTAAATGTGAGGAACATCAGAGACCTTCAGAAGCTTTGGTCATATTCCTGCCCTTTTTGTGCAATAAACCAGCTTTCTGTCAGAACCTGCAGGAGCATTCCTGCTGGGTTTGAATGCTTGTTTGTGTGTCTCTTATGGAAGACAGTCTCTTTCAAATAGAATTATATTTTACTTTGGATTTTTTTATGTCAGACTTTGAAAACTGTAAGCTCACCTCCTTCATCATAGGAAGCTTGTATATTCTGCTGGCTCCATCAGCAAGGATATTAATTCTTCCTGTAAAGCTGAAAGAAGTCATATGTGCCACTGTCTTCTTCTACACATACTCATTTCAAAATATAAAAGCTCTTGCTAAATGAGCTCTGTCACAGCTTATTTTGAAGACTTTGCTTTGACAAAGAACGTGTCAAAAGTATTATGTATTATCCAAACATAGGTGGAGGGAGGACTTCAAACTCCTGATGTTGAAACTGTGCGAGTGATCTCTGATGAAGTTTCCAACATACCAGAGAGGAAAAACATTGTATTCAACTGATATTCATGTAGAGCCAAGAGGTACTTAAGAAAAGCTAGTGATGTGAAGGCAAGCACCTAGGGGTTATTTTACTTTTACAATGAAATATAGAATAATTTTATACTTTTTATTAGTTTGCTGTTAACTCCAGTCTTTATTTTGATGTGATTTGGAGCTTACTGTGTCATCAGAGTATTATTATCTATTAGTCCTACTTCAGTAATACTCCACAAAATAAATGAAGCAATTAACTTTGTAGCTAACAGTATCTTGATGTATTTCAAGGTCAATATCTAATTCAGAATTTTTCATTAAAATCGCATTATTTCTACATGAAGAGAAGATGGATAGAGAGATAGATACCATCAAAAGTGCTAACATTCATATTGCACCATCTTTGATTTTATGTTTTGCAAATGTGATTATTTGGCGTGTGTCACTCCAGTGGAGTACATTTTTCTTTTTTCCTTGCTTTACATTTTTCGTATTCCTCATTTAATCTTGTTTTATTATGAAATTATGGGCTTTGATTTTTTATCGTCTTCTTTCAGCAGAGAAGCAAGCATACTTTTTAGTCTGAGGAATCAGACTTTGAGGAAGATGTGACTGATGTAGAGTTTGTGTTTAACTACATCATTTTTAACTGCCTCATATTTTTTGATGTCTTTCCCAGCAAAGCATCTGCAGATTTTATATTTGGAAAAAAACCTACTTACACTGTTTGTTGGGGTTTGGGGGGTGGGTTTTTTTTTTTTGTTTTGTTTTGTTTTGTTTTGTTTTGTTGTTTGGTTTTTTTTTGTGGGTGCTTTTGTGGTTTTGTTTTTTTGGGGTTTTTTTTTAAATTCTAATGCATCCTGGACACTTAGAGGGGAAAGTAATTAATGCCATACCTCACATGCACAGATACAAACAGAAGCAGAAATTACATTGTTATTGATGAAATGATGCTTTGCTTTCCTGGCTTTTCTTGCTATAGGCAAACTAATGTTTCTTGCAAATATTTAATTACAACTTCAGAATTTCACTATACAAGATTTTATTTTTGTGAAGTTTCACTTCAGTTATCAATGAAGTAAACTGATAACATGGTTCTGCCTTGAGCCCCTCTGCAGCTCTACTGAGGATGCATTTTTTTGACTCCTCCATCTATGAAGTCTCCAAGATCTTTAGCAAAAGCATTTAAACAAATTAAAACCTGCTACGCTTTGAGTTAATCTTCAATATGTTTTTCAAAACCAGCATAGGATTACAGTTGAATAATAGAATGACATGTTTTGGACTATACTGATTATATTGGCTAATACGACTGTAACTGCACAAAGAACTGAAAAAGACAGCAAAAGGAGTAGATCTATTACTGGGAATACACAATTAATCTTTTTGACATTATTTTATATGAGCATGGGTAAAAATGGCTGGAAAGTATGCCATTGAATTTTACTGCTCATTAATATTGATCAAATGTTGCTGTTCTCTTTGTGTTAGAAGCCACTGAAAGATTACCTACAAAAGTATTACAGTGCTATTGATTTAGAAAAGCAATTCCTGAAAACCATTGTTTTTTGAAAACTGGTTTACAAGTTTGGGCTTTTATTTTTTTTTATAAGGATGGTTTTAAACTTGCTGCTATAGATCTGAGCAATGAGAATATTAATCAGATTGTCAGGAAATTAATTATCCAGCATTCGATGCAATGTTATTTAAACATGCCTATGGAAGTTAGTTGGGACCTTTCATCGTCTGGCAAGAGCATCAGATGTTACATACTATTTTTTATTCTTAAATATTATGACAGCAGGATTAGGGCCCAAATCCTTCAAGACACTCAAATGTTTATAGTTTGAATCAGGGATCCGGTAGACTCAGTAAAAAAGGTGAAAAAACGGAATCATATGCTTGAAGGTTCATGCAATTTAAATGTCCTGAAGATGTGTGAACTCTGAGTATGGTCTTCTGGAGAACTAGGAGAAACAAGGCATGATAATACATGCTTTTTAAAGTTTCATTATTTTAGAATGCGGATTAGTCTAACTGATGTCCTGTTTTAGGAAATTAATGCTAACTAATGAAAATTAGATTTTTTTTTAGTAGCTTCAGCACATTTATTTTGAATGTTTCATTGCTCTGAATATAGTTTTTAATCTACCATTTTCTATTAATAATAATAATAATAAAGTATAATTACTCAACATTCAGGTTAAATGCTGCTGTTGTATGTCACCAGAAAGACAACTAGAATCAGTCAAAAAAGGTGTTCCTATTGTTGGTGTGTTGTTTTGTTTTTTTTCAGTAGGAAGGCATTGCAGAAGGCTAAGATTAATTAGAAATACTGGCATGCACTGGTATATTAGTACTGTGCACCTCAGATGACCTTTTAAGCCTTTGTAGTTTGGACTGGTCTGAGAAAATACAAAATCTAAAGAAAATCAGTGAAAGTATGCTGAACATGTGCTTAACAAGCCATACAGAGAAAGCAGCAAGCAAAATGAGAAGCTAGTTATTTAAAGATTTATTCTTGGAAAATCAGAAATGCACTTGCATAGAAATAATTAACATATAAGGAAGGCTACCTGCAGGTACTTCTCAAACTGCAGCACTATAATAGAGACTTGGAAAACAATACAGCTTATATTCACTGGGAGACCAAAAGTGCAAGTTATTAAACATATTTCTTCCCAAAATATTACAGATAAGGAATACCATAAAGAGCAGCTGATAACTTGGAAGCCATGAGTGTTACTAGACCTGTTAAAGGAGAGATACATGTTGTTGGAATTAAGAAAGTACTGTGTCATTACGTTTAAAGTGTAGTGCAGAATGTGGATGGGGAAAGACACCCCTGCATTTCATCTTCCTGATTTTTTAATTTTTCACTACTAATTGCATTTAGAATAAGCTGCTGTATATTCACGTCTTTTGTTTATTGCATTCATTGAGACATATCCTACATTTAATAATGTACAGAAGCATAAATTCTGCGGGATTGTGTCCTGAAATAGACTGATGGCATAAGTTTTAATAGAAATGTAGACATGGATAGTTTATCAAATTGCTATAACCACACGGGCAATTATAACTAGGGAATGTGTTCTGACATCCTTGTCATTCTGTTAATTTTTATGTTTTTCAAATTAATATTTTCTTAGAGAGTGCAGCTTTCACTAATGTGGTGTTCTGAATGCTGTTGCCCTGAACATCTGTCAAAGCTTGGGTTTGTAACTGAAAACAAACTAATAGGCGAGCCTCAGAAACATTAAACTTATAGCTATTTTAAGTTTAAATCATTCAGTTCCCAGTGCTGATTTTCCATAAATTTTGCTGTGGAAAGAAGTTACTTTCTGTTGGGGTTTTTTTGTTTGTTTGTGGGGTTTTGTTTTGGTTTTGTTTTGTTTTTTTTTTAATTTAGTTTTAAATGAGTGAATAATTATGACATTGCATTTCAGTAAGCAAAGAAGAATATTCTTTGTACATGGCAGAGGTTGCAAATAACATACTTTCTGCTGAATTCATAAATCTTTTCGCACACAAACTTGCACATGAGGCTTTCCAGTCAGTGATCACCTGTTCTTTAAAGTGAGATTGAAAAAGAAAAATCATAAAAATACTAAGGTATGTTACAGGTAATATTAGTAAGATAATAAGATGTAAAAGGCTTTAATATACATGGCACTAAATGAGTAAACTTTAGATCTCATTAGATCTCAATTCAAAACCTGCTATTACTTAAAGGTATGTATGGTCATTTCAAACCTATCAAATTAGATCTTCCTACTGAAATTTTTGGTATCCTAGCACATAGTTAGCTAAAAAAAAAGAAGTAAGACAACCTTTTTTGAAGTCAGTTTGAAGTGAGTATGCTAAAAAGGCACTCAATGGAAATGGAATAGTTATTTTAGTAGCTGCTAACTGCTGGCCCAGATAAAAAAAGCTTTTGTTCAGAAAGTCACCCAAAGACATAGCAAAGATGTCTTCAGAATACTAACTTGACACGTAGTGATTATTCAGGCATATTGTACATGTCACACTGTACATGATAGGCACATTTTATTAATACATATTTCCTCAGTGGTATAGAATTTAGAATGCTTGTTATCTTTAATAAGAGAGCAAAATTTAGCTTCTCTGTCTCCTGTCTTCTCTTGTATTAAAAAGTAATATTATGATTAATGAGTGGTGACATGCTTCATATTTTTTCTTGTTCACAAAAAATCCTTGCTGGCAAGCTATCCGAAATAAGTGAATGGCGTTTCTTAGCAGGTTGGTAGAATATGGAAGTCTACATCGGGGATTTTATTTCTTTAATGAAAGTATGTAAATGACTGAAATTATTATTGTTGTTGTAGATAAATATATATATAGAGAGAGATAGATAGATAGATAGATATATATATATATACACTTCTCTTTTTTTTAGGACCCTGCCTTCCTAATCCGTGTCATAATGGTGGGATCTGTGAAATTAGTGAAGCATACCGAGGTGACACATTCAAAGGATATGTGTGTAATTGTCCACAGGGATTTAATGGGATTCACTGCCAGCACAGTAAGTTCCACACAGTAACTTTCACTGTATTTATAAATAGCAGGTTTTTTATTGCTTGCAATGTTGAGGATTGATATTGGATCTGTTTTTTTAAAGAATATGAGTCTTTGGCCTTTGTATTGTGTGGCATTTTATATTATGAGTAAGCTAATACTTACTTAAACTTGCCCTGTTTAAGTTTTAACCCATTACCCCTTGTCCTATCACTACAGTCCCTAATGAAGAGTCCCTCTCCAGCATCCTTAAAGGCCCCCTTCAGATACTGGAAGGCTGCTGTGAGGTCTCCACGCAGCCTTCTCCAGGCTGAACAGCCCCAACTTTCTCGGCCTACGTTCATACGGGAGGTGTTCCAGTCCCCTGATCATCCTTGTGGCCCTCCTCTGGACTTGTTCCAACAGTTCCACGTCCTTTTTATGTTGAGGACACCAGAACTGCACACAATACTCCAAGTGAGGTCTCATGAGAGTAGAGTAGAGGGGCAGGATCACCACCTTCGACCTCCTGGTCACACTCCTTTTGATGCAGCCCAGGATACAGTTGGCTTTGTGGGCTGCGAGCACACACTGAAGCTGGCTCATGTTCGTTTTCTCCTCAGCCAACACCCCAAGTCCTTCTGGGCAAGGCTGCTCTGAATCTCTTCTCTGCCCACCTATAGTTGTGTCTGGGATTGCTCTGACCCAGGTGTAGGATCTTACAATTGGCATTAGCCCACCTCACAAGCATGTTGAGGTCCCTCTGGATGCCATTCCCTCCTTCCAGCATATCAACCAAACCCCGCCGCTTGGTGTCATTGGCAAACTTGCTGAGGGCGCACTCAATCCCACTGTCCATGTTAGCAACGAAGATGTTAAACAAGACCGGTCCCAACAGTGATCCCTGAGGAACACCCCTTGTTACTGGTCTCCAGCTGGACATTGAGCCATTGACCACAACTATTTGCGTTTGGCCATCCAGCTAGTTCTTTATTCACCAAGTGGTCCATTCATCAAATTGATGGCTCTCCAGTTTAGAGGCAAGGATGTTGTGTGGGACAGTGTCGAACACATTGCACAAGTCCAGGTAGATGAGGTCATCCATTTTCCCCTTCTTGGAAGTGAGGGTTATATTTCCCATTTTCCAGTTGTACTGGGTTAATCAGTAGCAGTCATTTTTCTTCTTCTTGGTAGCTGGTGCAGTGCTGTGTTTTGACTTTCGGCCTGGGAACAGAGCTGATAACAGTGATGTTTTGGTCTGGCTGGGTTTAAACCACAACAGTTCTTTTTGGCTCCCAACATGGGGCATGAGGGATTGAGATAACGACAGATCTGACTGGATTAATAGTCACTCATCACAATGCTGATTTACTGCCTCTTAAACTGGTTTCTCTTGACCTCACAGTTTCAGAATGTTGTAACTTACTTAGAGCCGGTATTTGCTGTGTTAGTATTTATCAAGTGTGGGGCTTGGGCTAAGGTTCCTGTCTCACTGTACTTTATGGCAATCACTTGTAATACGGGCGGGCTCCAGAAGCAGGGCAGGCCGTGGACTGGTACCTGGCGGTCTGCTGCTCACCATGCTGGCCCTTGTCCTTGCCTCTATCTGCGTGAGGCCATGGGGAGACGAGGGGGAGTGGTCCTGGGAGCCAGTGGCTGCCGAAGAGGCCCAGGAGAGCGGCCCTGGCGACAAAGCAGTAGCGGGAGTGGGTCTGGAGGCTGGCAGGGAGCGGCTGCTGGTGGAGGAGGTCGGGGTGGTCAAGGAGTGGAAGCGGCTGCCGACCAGTGGAAGAAGGCGGCGGAGGAGCCGAGCCCCGCAGAGGAGCTGAGCCCTGTGGAGGAGCCGAGCTCCTCAACGGCTGAGAGGATTCCCCGGAAGCTGCCCACCGAGCACCAGGAGGATGCAGGAGACCCCGCAGCATTTCCCAGCCTGGCAGAGGAGGAAGAGCTGGACTCAGAAAAAGAGAAGCTGGTGGTGGGAGAGCCGGCAAGCACAGCAGCTACACCAGCCCCAGTGACAAGTACAGCAGCATCGTTTGAGAGTTCTGAAGGTTTTGGATGGCCTTTGTGTAACCTTGGGACCTGCCTGCTGACTGTGATGGGGATCAGCATGTTGGCACACATACAGACTGTGTTTTACCCATCACCATTTTGTCTGATCTAAAAAGTTAAGCAGAGTTGTGTTTGGGTCTTGTCTGGGGTTAGACGACGATATGGGAGGACCAGGAGATTTCCCCCCAGGCTGGACAGCCATGAGTGGCAGGGTGTGTGGGACAGTATGGGCAAGTATCTAGGTCAGTGGGCCCCTCCAGTTCTCTGGAAGCATCGGAGATGGAAGGCAGCTGTATGGAGGCCCCAGCAACAAGCTGCAGAAATTGCTGAAGGGGACGGTGAGTTATTTTGAGCCTGGTAGGCCCATGATACTTCAGGCCATCAGGGCAGAGATGCAGCATAGAGATGGAAGGGATGGACTTAGCAATGGACACTATTGACCAGGTGTTTCATGAGTGTGAACACTGCACACAGCCTCTTCTGCTCTGAAAGACTGTTACAAGAGATGGAGCCTGACGTCATGGACCAGATGGACTCAGCAGCTTTATAGGGACTGGTCCATGCACTAAGATAAGAGTGCACTGAGATAAGAGCGATGGTATATTGAAAAAGTGGGATCTGAGCATGATGTGAATGATATGGAATAAGGGGTGGATAATGTCGTGGGTTCAGCAGTAGCAGTCATTTTTCTCTTTCTTGGTAGCTGGTGCAGTGCTGCGTTTTGACTTTTGGCCTGGGAACAGCGCTGATAACACCGATGTTTTGTTCTGGCTGGATTTAAACTATGACACCAGTCATCAGAAACTTCACCTGACTGCCGTGATTTTTCAAACATGATTAACAGTGGCTTAGCAACTTCATTCGCCAGCTCTTTCAGGACTCGCGGATGATTTGCATTATGTGTTTGCACTTAAATAGAAGCTGGTTTGGTTTTTGGTTTTTGGTTTGCTTGGTTTGGGGTTTTTTTATATCAAACTCATTTAGGAAATGTGCTTGCCTAAGGAGAAACTCGTGTGCTAAATTTGTGTTTTATTTTGTGCAATAAAGCGCACAGTACGTTTCTTAAAATCTCATGTTATTGTTGCATTTGGAAGCCAACTGCTACTGAGTTAGAAGGTTAAAAACTGAAACAGTCATGGATCCAGTTCCATTTGCACATAAAAAGTAAATCCACTCATTCAAATCAGAGTGGGTAAGCACTGAATCCAATCTGCCTTAATTAAGTGCTCCATTTAGATGCTTGTCTATAATTTGAAGTGTCAGGAGACAACGCAGTCCTGCTCAAATGACTACTTACATTCATTCTGTCATTTATGTACTGATTGGAAGGTGTCTTCAAACACCTTAAAATACAGATGTTCAGTTTCATTAACTGTGACCATGCTCTTTCTTTCAATTGCATAGATAACATAGGCAGCCCCACTAACTTACTCTAGTTAAATTATGACTACCTCTTCCACTAGCCACATGGAAAAGTTTCATATTTTTGACTCCTTTGGCTTCTCTTCCATGTAGCCCTGATTCTGGGGCTGGCTATCCAGTGGAGCTGACTGACGGCAACAGTCACACTGAATTCCTTTTGGTTTAATGGTCGTATTTCATTAGAGCAGGCAGTCAAGAGAGGGGACTGAGTTCATGGTGCAGTCCTGAAGGCAGAGGGTAGTTGTTGCCAGCCTTTAAGTAGTTCAAGAGTCTCAAGACCAAGAGAGTAGGCAATATTATGATCCTGCTAATCAGCACAGTGTGTATTTATACCAAACGCAGAATAAAGTAGAGCTTTCACACGGATGATTCAGATCCACTGTGGGGAGACTAGAACCCAGGAAGAGAGCTAAAGTGATTTAAGAAGAGACAAGTTTATGTGAACAGTTACTCTTTTGGGGGAGAATGAAATTCTGTTCTTTTCAGATAATCTGATTTAAGATGTGATAATAAATCATACACAACACATGGGTGTTCAGAAGATCTCTTAAGAATGTCAGCTATGAGAAGCAGCAGATGAGGTCTCCGCATTCAGGAAGAAGTATGGGACTTCCAGTGGTGAACTTAATAAAACTCTTTTATATGATAGCTCAAAGTTCCTTTGATACAAATTCCTCTGTTGCATAAAGTTTAGCAATTCAATTCTATAAACTGAGTGAAAAGTCTGTCAAAGTAGTTCCCTCATAAAAAGGTAAATTAAAATTACCTCTTGAAAGACACATATCTTTAAACTGCTTAGATTTCCAAAAATCTTATTATACTTCTTTTGTACAGGGTTTTTTATCTTGAGTTTCTTTCATGTCTGATATTCTGTTCCTGAATAAATTAATCAAGGTGATTGATTTTGCAGTCAGGGTACATTCCCAAAGCTGGTATTCTGTTATATGCATCAGCAGACATCCTGTCAGTATTTCTAATATTCCTTGACCTTTTACCCATGTAAGTAATTAATATTAAAATTATAAATAAGCTAATTAGTGATTTCACTGATAATGTATTTATTTCAAAACTGATCTTAATTTTCAAACCTAAAAAGATTGTGATTTCCCAGTACAAAAAAGGAATTTCCCATTTCAGTGTTACCCAGCCAGTTGTCTGGAAAAGAAAGTCTACCACACGTAGAAACCTGGGCAGATTTTTGTGGTGATAGCCAAGATCAGTATGTTCTTTAAATACTTCTCTGTTTCTAAAAGTCATTCACTTATCTGCTTGATATGGATGTAAGGACAGTGACTTTTAACTGTGGATCTGCAAGTGGAAAGGCCAGTGGCCATGCATTTCTGGCCAGTTGACATGATGCATGATAAACAGCTTCAGCTCTACCAGCAAATTCAAATCCTAATGACTTCTCTAGCTACTGGGAAGAAGTACTTGTGAGGAAAGTGTAGACCATCCTGTGGCATGGATTTTGTGTGTTAAAATGAGGGAGTGCTTTTGCTAAACCATTCCTGGCTGTAGTTTGGTGGTAGAGCATTCCAGAAACCATTCCCCCCC